CTAGTTCAGAGAAAACGGTAGAGGGGGTGAGAGGAGATGAGGGGGTGGAGGTTGGGGAGAGAGAGGTGGTAGAGGTGGGGAGGGATGAGGTGGTAGGGGTTAGGGTAGATAGCATACCTATCATCGTAGTAGAAGTAGAGGGTAGAGGAGAGAGGAATTACGATGTGAATGCAGAAATAGTGGAGGAGGTGAAGCAGTACAGATTTGAGCTAAGGACCAGGGATAGCCTAGGTCACTTAGTAGAAAATTACGAAATCTCGTCTCGAGTGTTAGTTAGGCCAGCTGGGGTAGAGGAGAGGGCGTGCTCTGCTCCTCGGGATCACTGGATGCCTGTGTATTCCCACTATTTGATAGCGGGACTCAGGTTTCCACTTCCTGAGTTGCTAATAGGTTTACTATTAGATTACAACATAGGGTTGACACAGTTGGTCCCCAACGCAATGAGGGTAATAATAGGTTTTTTAGTTTATTGCCGAGCTCAAGGGATTAGTGTGCCAACTGTAAATATGTTTAAGTACTTTTTTGTTTTAAAGGGGGGAAGTAGGAGGGATAAGGGGTGGTATTATTTCACCCCTAGGGTAGCTAAGAAGGAAAGTAGGGTTTTATTCACTGTAGGTCCTTCATCCATTAAGGGATGGAAGGAAAAATTCTTTTTTGTGGATGATACGGAGTGGGGGAAGAGGGATACCGAGGTGAGGGAGTTAGCCTCCTGGAAGGCCAAAAGGGCCAACCAGAATAGGTTTAGCTTAAATGAAGATGAGGAGGAAGAAGTGAGGAAGTTGGTGAGGAAGGGGGGAGATGTGTTGAATATCATGGACTTCACCAGCGCAGCATGCATAGAAGTTGCTGAGCTCTATGGGCCAAGCGCTCTGAGTGAAGGTTTGTGAAACATGCACTGTAGCGTTGAATGTAGAACATAGAATTGTGATTCATATTGTGTTTCTTGCTTTGCAGCTGAAATGGACCAGTTTTTAAATACTGCTGGAGGAGCGCCCATCCCCAAGAAGCCAAGGAAGAAGTCAAAGACTTCGACCAAGCAAGTGGATGAGGGGAGGGCTGGGAAGGAGATGGTGCCCTTGGCTTCAGCTGAGACGGAGGAGGAGGTGCTGCCGCTGAAGAGGAAGGGTTGGGAGGAGAGGAGGGCACTGCAGAAGAAGCAGAAGGTGGTGGAGGAGGATGAGGGGGATGAGGTTCCTGAGTTCGTACCTCAGCCTTCTCCTATTGAGCTGGACCCTGAGCTCAAACAGTTGGAGGAGGGGGCTGAGGTACGAGCTCCTGGTAAAGGGAAGGGGCCTATTCCCCCACTGAGGCCTCAGAGCAGCCTGTTCGAGGCGAAGAACATAACGGGGGCCAGGTGGTTCATCAACAACACCTTCCCCGAGGTGGGCCAAAGCAACGCGAGGTAGGAAGCTCTGAGGTATGGTGGAGCGTCTGTTGTGAAGCACGTTCTAGAGGTAAGTTAAAGTAGTAATGTTGTTTAGTGAACCTGCTTCATTTTCTCCTCGTTCAATGTTGTTTTTAACTTCAGTTTTGATCTGCAGAGCGCGAGCTGGGTGAATGGTCTAGCCCAGGAATTCAAGGAGAGCCTGAAGGATCGCGCACTCTTGCAGAGGCAGCGAGACCAGCTGCAGAAGGAGAAGGAAGTGTTGGAGAAGAAAAATAAGGAGCTGCAAGAGTCTCTGAACGAGGTGGTTCCAACTGTTTCACAGTTGGAGCAGGAGAGGTCTTCCCTGAGCACCAAGCTCGCTTTTGAGGAGAGCAAACGAAGGATCGCTGAAAGCGAGCATGAGGCTCAGGCGTAAGAAATGAAGCTGATGACGGAGGCATTCAAGGAGTTGAAGGGGAACATGCGGAAGTTGGTGCACAATGGGATGAAGGAGCACATCAGCAACTTCATCAGTTCCAGCTCGTTTGATAGCATCGTCAACCTGTACCGACTCCCCACTACCATCATTGCCTTCACAGACTACAGAAAGAAGGTGAAGGCTGAATATCCCGAAGTGGATGTGACGAAGATCACCTTCGGCGAGCAAGAAGAAGGAGTGGAGGAGGATGGCGAGAGCATGTCAGCAGACTTCCGTCCTCAGATTAAGCTGAGGTGGGAGAATGATGCAGACGGTCTTGCTGTTTTTCCTCCACAGTTCGACTTCGAGTTCATTGCAGTGGAGGAAGAAGGGGTAGAGGTAGAGGAGGGCGAGATGGAGGCAGGAGTGGAGGGAACTGAAGTGGGTAAGGTGCAACCAGCTCCAGAAGTGGAGATTCATCCAGTTCTTTCTGACGATGAGCAGCCTCCTCTGCCAGACGAGCAGCAGCCAACACAGCCACCTCCTCCAGCTGAGTACGAGCTAATGCAGTCACCTCTCCAGCAGAGAACTTTTGTTTTTTAATTTTTGTAGAATATTGAAACAATTTGTAATTCTTCTTTGAATGAAAATTCATTTTTAAAATCATGTGTTTGTTTGTGTTTGCTTTACATTTTTGTTATTATTTTTTATTAATAAAAGACCTGAGATTTATTTGAGACGTGATTTGAAAGAAAGTTAACCAATTCAGAAGTGAACCAAAGGGAAGTAAATCACTTTAGATGGATTAAGAAGAAGTAAATTACTTCAGATAAATTAAGAACAAGTACATTACTGCAAATGAATTAAAAGGAAGTAAAGCACTTCATATGTGAAGTGACATTTATTAATCAGAAGTGAGGTTCAAGGAATGAATAGACTGATTGACCTCGGATACATAGAATAAGACGTAAAATGAATCTCGACAAACATGAAATAAGAACTGTAAGACATAGATCTCTTGAAAGAATTCAATTAGGGGTAAAATTTCTTCAAGATATTGACATTCCAGACTCTAGGAACTCTCTTTCCTTCAGCGTCTTGGAGGACATAAGCACCAGGATGTGGCACCTCGGCCACGGTATAAGGGCCTTCCCAATTCGGGGCGAGTTTGCCAAAATGAGTTTCAAACCCTGTTAGGCCAGCTTTTCTGAGAACAAGATCTCATACTTTGAAAGTTCGAGGGTGGACCCGTTTATTGTAGAAGTTGGATAGCTTCTGCTTGTATACAAGAGTTCGAAGCCGAGCTTCTTCTCTAACTTCAGCAAGCAGATCAAGGTTTTCCCAAAGCAATTGTCCATTTCGCCCTTCATCGAAATGGGTGACCCGAAAGCTTGGGACTCCTATTTCAACAGGAATGACTGCTTCGGTACCAAAGGCTAGGTGGTATCGTGTTTCACCTATTTCAGTTAATTATAACTTTAGAATGCGCTTTATGCATTATGCATATTTGCTCTAAGGTAAAGCGTAACAGAAGAAGTAAAATACTATAGAAATTAATCAAATAAACTTGGTTTAAAGCAGTACCTGTGGCAGTTCGGCTCGTGGTTCTGTATGCCCAGAGGACGTTGTTGAGCT